AAATTCCAATGACATTATTCTCAGAAATGGAAAAAACTATCCAGACATTTATATGGAATAACAAAGACCATGCATAGCCAAAGCAATTCTGAGCAAAAAAAGTAAAGAAAAGCTGGAGGCGTAACACTACCTGACTTTAACCTATACTACAAAGCTATAATAACCAAAACAGCATGGTACTGGCATAAAAACAGACACCCTGATCAATGGAATAGAATAGAGAATCTAGAAATCAACCCACACACCTACAGCCATCTGATCTTTGACAAAGTCACCAAGCCTATACACTGGGGAAGAGACTGCCTCTTCAGCAAATGGTACTGGGATAACTGGATATCCATATGCAGGAGAATGAAACTAGAACCATACCTCTCACCATATACTAAAATCAACTCAAAATGGATTAAAGAATTAAATATACACCCTGAAACAATAAAACTTCTTAAAGAAAACATAGGTAAAACACTTCAGGAAGTAGGAATGGGCACAGACTTCATGAATACAACCCCAAAAGCACGGGCAACTAAAGGAAAAATAAACAAATGGGATTATATCAAACTAAAAAGCTTCTGCACAGCAAAAGAAACAATTAACAGAGTTAAAAGACAACCAACAGAGTGGGAGAAAATATTTGCAAAATATACATCTGACAAAGGATTAATATCCAGAATATACAAGGAACTCAAACAACTTTAAAAAAAAAAAACAAGCAACCCAATTAAAAAATGGGCAAAAGAGCTAAGTAGGCATTTCTCTAAGGAAGATATACAAATGGCCAACAGACATATGAAAAAATGCTCAACATCACTCAGCATTCGGGAAATGCAAATCAAAACTACACTGAGATACCATCTCACCCCAGTTAGGATGGCTAAAATCCAAAAGACTCTGAACGATAAATGCTGGCGAGGTTGCGGAGAAAAAGGAACTCTCATACATTGTTGGTGGGACTGCAGAATGGTGCAGCCTCTATGGAAAATGGTATGGAGGTTCCTCAAACAATTGCAGATAGATCTACCATATGACCCAGCTATCCCACTGCTGGGAATATACCCAGAGGAATGGAAATCATCAAGACAAGTGTATACCTGTTCTCCAATGTTCAGTGCAACACTATTTACAATAGCTAAGAGCTGGAACCAGCCCAAATGCCCATCATCAGATGAGTGGATATGGAAAATGTGGTACATCTACACAATGGAATACTACTCAGCTATAAAAAGGAATGAAATACTGCCATTTGCAACAACATGGATGAACCTAGAGAGAATTATATGAAATGAAACGAGGCAGGCACAGAAAGAGAAATATCACATGTTCTCACTTATTTGTGGGAGCTAAAAATTAATAAATAAATACACAAATAACCTGGGGGGGGGGAGGAAAGAAGACACAACAATGACAATTCCTTGAAGTTGATACAACAAGTGAACAGATATGAGGTTGTTGGAAAGAGGGGGGAGAAGAAGGAAGGAGGGAGGTTTTGGTAATGGGCCACAATAATCAACCACACTGTATATTGACAAAATAAAATTAAATTTAAAAAAAGTTTTTGCATGGCAAAAAACACCATAAACAGAGTTAAAAATATAAATCAAACTCAGGGGAAATAGTTCCAAGAGATTATCACAGATAGAAAAGGCTAATCATTCTAATATAGAGAGAACATTTAGAAGATGGGAAAAAGAATACTGGCCAGCTGCCAAAAAAAAAAAAAAAAGGGAAAAGGAAAAAACTCAAGACTTGATAGAAAAACTGGCAAAATATGTGAACAGAGAGCTCACAGAAAAAGACAGACAGATGGCCCTTGAACATATGAAGAGATGCTTGGCTTCATTCATAATAAACAAAATGCAAATTTAGCTCCTCAGAGATCATTTCTCATCCATGTAACTGGCAGACATTCAAAAGTTTGATCACACGCTCTGGTGGTGAGGCTTCAGGAAAGTGTCTCATACGGTGCTGGTGGGAGGGCAAATGGGCCTAAGCCACATGCAGGGGAATTTGTAAATGTCTAAGAAAATTATGAATGCATTTGCTGCTTGACCCAGCAAGACTTCTAGGAATTTACACAGATCTTCTCGACAGATATAAAACAACTGTGCCAAGGTTATAGACTGCAGCATCATTTGCAGAAGCAAAATATTAGAAACAACCTAAATATCCATGGAGACTGGTCAAATAAATTATGGTACTCCAGTCACCCAATGGAGTCAAATACAGCAATTAAAGAATAATAATAGCAGAAGATCTCCATGTAGTGGCATGGAGTAATTTCCAGGACACAGTGTTGAGTAAAAAACCAAACAACAAACCAAACCAATTAGACAAACAAACAAAACCCCCAAGATATCAAAGAGTGTTTTATGTGTTTTCTAAGTAAGAAAGGAGAATAGTTGCTTATTTTTGTGAAAAAAACCAGAATAAATCAGAAACTAATGAAAATGATTATTTTAGGGTATGGGTGTAAATGGGGTAGAAGGGATGATGATGGAACTGAGACTTTTTTGAATTTACTTTTTATATAGATTTGAAATTTGAACCATGTACATGTTGTACAAAAGTAAGATTAAAAAATAAGATTAATTTTAAAAGCCACTAAAATTAAGTGCAGGTAAGTGAATCTATCCATGTATCAAATTGTTATCATAATCATACAGAAAAAGGAATTAGTTTAAGCAACTTTTGCTCACAATAATCTGTACACTCTAAGTGGGATGTATTCTAAAGCAGTGCTACTTAATACAGTAACCACTAGCCATGTGTGGCTATTTATTTAAATACCAAAAATTAAAATACTTACACTAAAATGCTTAAATAAAGTTAAAAATTAGGTCCGCAATCATGGTAGCCACGTTTCAAGTGCTCAATAACCACATGTGGCTACTGGCTACTGTATTGGACAGCAGAGATATAGAATATTTCCATCAGAAATTTTCTAGTTCTTTTATTTATTTATTTATTTATTTCCCCTTTTTGTCTTTTTTCGTGACCGGCAACGGGGTCGCAACCCTCGGTGTTGCGTCCGCACCTCGCTCAGCCAGTGAGCCGCCGGTCTGTATGTGGGATCCGAACCCTCGGCGGCAGCGGCGCTGCGCTCCCAAGCGGCGCACTGTAGCAATGCGCCACCGGGCCGGCCCTCTAGTTCTTTTAGACATCGATATTCTGAGGACAAAGAGAACCGCAGATAAATCTTCATTTTTACTTAGTAGGTCCATGAGATAGAGACAGTAGTATAGCATTTCTTTTCTGAAGACTGAAGGACAGAACAAACAAGTAGATATTTTGATGTTATTGGGAAGTAAGTTCTCCCTTGAAGGAGAAGGGAGATACAAATATGGAATAGGGGAAGATGAGGAAAATCCTGTAGAATTTGACTTTAGTTGGAACTATCAGTATCAACTAGTGTCTCCTAAAGTAATGACATCCCAGAAGCAATGAGCACCAAGTGTCCAGATCTTGGTTTCTAAATACCATTTTCTGCCAAAAGAAATCAGGGTTCCTTGGAGAAATTGCTGATTCCAGACCCAGGGTAGAGAAAGTATCAAACAAGGGAAGAAGGTGCTCAAGGACTGATGGGAACATGCTGACAGGACACAAGTGTGAATGGGGCTTCCACTGGACAAATTTGGGGTACATTGAGCCAATGAAGATAGTGAAGGTAATGGATTAGAACACACTGAGTAAAACAAATCCACAGTGATAATGAGAGAGAGGGAGCAGGGCTGGGAAGGAGAAAGGAAAAGCTCTTTCTCATAGTAGAATGCCAACTAATAAAAGTAGAAGGAACGATAGAGTTACATAATCACTATTTTGCAACCCCAAATGTAATAACTGATTCAGGCAAGGGTCATAAATGGATGCTAAATCTATTGGTGAAGGATTGTTGGGGAACAGGATGTCTTGAAAGACCAAATTTATTGAAGTCTGTTTTAGATTAAAGGAGAATAAAAAGATGTGACAACCAAATGTAAACACATGATCCTTGCTTAGATCCCAGATCAGAAAAAATAACACTATAAAGGATATTTTTGGGATAATAGTGAACTTTTGAATATGGACTGTCTGTTAGATAATATCAGTGTATCAATGTTAAATTTCTTGTGTGTTGATAATGGCATTGTGTAGCAGAATGTTTTATGTATTATGAGTTATTATGAATTATTATTTATGAATTATTATGTAGCAGAATGTTTTTGTCCTTAGGACATACATGCTGAAGTACTTTGGGGTGAAGTGACTTGTGTCAGCAACTGTCTTTCAAGTGGTTCACAGGGGAAAACACTCTTCAAATATATCCCTGTAATGGGACTCCTTTCTTCCCCACCACCTAACTCTCCCTGCTGGGCTGGTCACTGGCAAAAGCTCCTTTCTCCCTCTCCAGGGCACCTTGTCATGGAGCTCAGAGTCAGTAGAACAGCGAGTAGGTGCAGAGCCCTCTCCTGGCACCACGTACTGATTTCTTGTCCCTCCCTCACTGGGAGCACTGGGCTGAGGGCCTGAAGACCCCAGTTCAAGTCCGGGTGACATGGGGAAAGTTACTGTCCCTGGCTTCCTCATCCTGGGCTACAGGGTCTCCAAGGCCCCACACACCCATGATGTGGGGTGGAAGACCCTGTCCTTGAACTCGGAAGCTAACATAGTCCTGGGGGCTGGGGACAATTTGATAATTTTTGATGACCCTCTGTGGCAAGGGGATGGAAATGAAAGTTTGTCCTTTGGATTCTCCCTTCCCTAAACTGGGTCCTAATCATCGGTTTGGAAGAGAAAGGAGGAAGCAAGTTAAGCATGCACACGTGTGAGCGTGCTGTGTATGAGCTAGTGAGGAGCTGAGCTGATACTGGGAGCATGCTCTGGGTCGGGTCTAAAGTCAGGATTTGGGGCTGGAGGCCTGTGAAGGGTCTGGGGGGTGAGGAGATGCCTGGGAGCTGCGTGGAGGAGGGTGCTGCTGGGTAACCAAAGGAAGTGCCCAGCCTCACCTGTTCTGTCCCTACCTCCAGGCCCACGAACGGCTGGAGGAGACTAAGCTGGAGGCTGTACGAGACAACAACTTGGAGCTGGTGCAGGAGATCCTGCGGGACCTGGCGCAGCTGGCCGAGCAGAGCAGCACAGCCGCTGAGCTGGCCCGCATTCTCCAGGAGCCCCACTTCCAGGTTCCTGGCTGCCGGGGGCTGGGGCGGGGGAGTGGGGCATGCCCATGGGGGAGGGGCCTGCAGGAAGTTGGAGCTAGGATGGGAAGGGACTGCAGGGCAGTGCCCCATCATCCCTCCTCTTCCTACTACCTCCCCAGTCCCTCTTGGAGACGCACGACTCTGTGGCTTCAAAGACCTATGAGACACCACCTCCCAGCCCTGGCCTGGATCCCACATTCAGCAATCAGCCCGTACCTCCCGACGCGGTGCGCATGGTGGGCATCCGCAAGACAGCTGGAGAGCACCTGGTGAGGGTGCCGGGCAGGGTCAGAGGTGGGGTCTGGTGGGGGTGGACATTGAGAGTAACCAATGGGGGACAAAAAAGGTCAGGAGAGGGCTGATGACAAAGATGGGTCAGCTATGCCCGGGGAAGGGCCTATGCAGACCCAGGAGACCATGGACACTGCATACGAGATGCACACACACATGTCAGGACCCTCTCCCGTCTGCCCGCTTTCCCCGCATCAGTGCCTCCTGTAAGTGAAGAATTTGGGCAGAAGGATGGAAGAGGATTTGGCGGGGGTGGGGTAGGGTGGGGGCAGGAGTGGAGGAACTATTAGGAGACCCATTTGAAGATTGTGACTTAGAGCAGTTGGGACCTTGTCATACACGCCCTCCATCCCCCAGGGTGTGACGTTCCGCGTGGAGGGCGGCGAGCTGGTAATTGCGCGCATTCTGCACGGGGGCATGGTGGCTCAGCAAGGTCTGCTGCACGTGGGTGACATCATCAAGGAGGTGAACGGGCAGCCGGTGGGCAGCGACCCCCGCGCGCTGCAGGAGCTCCTGCGCAGCGCCAGCGGCAGTGTCATCCTCAAGATCCTGCCCAGCTACCAGGAGCCCCATCTGCCCCGCCAGGTGGGCCCCTCCGCCAAGCCCCCCACCTAGCACCTAGCTCAGCCCACGCGATGGCTGAGCCTCCGAGTTACCAGGGTCGCCCGTCCCCTGGAGCCCCTCCTCTCCAACCAACATTCATGCACAGGCTTCTGCGTGTGATGCACGTGCTCGCGCATTTCTGCTGCTTTGTGCTTAGCCTCATGCGCATGCGCAAGAACATGCACGCATGCACAGCCGGCGTACCTGAGTGTACAAGTGAGTGCTTGCAGCCTGTGCAGTGGTCCTCACGAGCGTGTGCATGTGCACGTGGGCAGTGTGGGTTGTCCCGTGTCCTGGATAGCTGCCTCCTGCTTGGTGGATTATGGAGGTGTGGTTGTCTGCCCACCTTTCCTGTTGGCGCCCCAGCCCTCTACCAGAGCCTTTTCCTCCACAGGGAGGCGGTGGGTGGATGGAGGGATCAGGTTAGGTCCCAGGGTCCTGTTCCCTACCTGGTGATTCTTCCTCGTTGGTCCTGAGGTCTGCCCCAGGCCTGCGCAGTTTCCCCATCCCTCAGTCTGACTCCCTTAGTTCTAGAAGTGAAGAGAAGAGGCTGGTACCAGGGAGACGGGCTGGGCAGGCCGGGAGGCATCACTCCTCTTGGGGGGCAGCATCAGCGCCTCTTGCCTCTTTGTGAGAGGAGGAGAGAGGGTGGGAGTGAATTTCGTGACATCTATTTCCCTCTTCCCTTGACCCTTCACCGATTTCTGGATCCAGGTATTTGTTAAATGCCACTTTGACTATGATCCGGCCCGAGATAGCCTCATCCCCTGCAAGGAAGCGGGCCTGCGCTTCAACGCTGGGGACTTGCTCCAGATTGTAAACCAGGACGATGCTAACTGGTGGCAGGTGAGCCCTGGATGCCCCTGCAGTCTCTCCAGGTATGGTGTGGGGTTGGTGAAGGTTCAGGAAGGAGTCCTTTCACTCAGGCAGATGTTTGTCTCATGCACATTTCAGGCGTGCCATGTAGAAGGGGGTAGTGCTGGGCTCATCCCCAGTCAGCTGCTAGAGGAGAAGCGGAAAGCATTTGTCAAGAGGGACTTGGAGTTGACACCGACCTCAGGTGGGAGGTTTCCCCCAACCCAGACCCCCAGTCTAGGACCTGGCACAGCCATTCCTGCCTCACTCACCCATCTCTCTGTGGCCAGGGACCCTATGTGGCAGCCTTTCAGGAAAGAAAAAGAAGCGAATGATGTATTTGACCACCAAGAATGCAGGTGGGTATTGGAGCCCCTCCCCTCCCCCGTACTCCTCTAACTCCCGCCCCCACCAAGGACTTGTGAATGTGCCCTCCTGGCTCAGATGCTGCCAGCCTTGTTCCTAGGCCCTGCCCAGGTCTTCTCTGTTCCCGTGGCACAAGCTCTCTCATCCTTGGCCTCCCTGAGAGCCCTGCCGCTCCCCACCATGCAGCCTGATGAGCAGTGCCATCTTCCTGTGTCCAGAGTTCGACCGCCATGAGCTACTCATTTATGAGGAGGTGGCCCGCATGCCCCCATTCCGCCGGAAAACCCTGGTGCTGATTGGGGCTCAGGGTGTGGGCCGGCGCAGCCTGAAGAACAAGCTCATCATGTGGGATCCAGATCGTTATGGCACGACAGTACCCTGTGAGTGGGAGCTGGACCCTGCTGGGTGGGGGACAAGGAGCAGGGGCTTCCCTGGGGGCCAGGGCTGGGGCCACTGAATGGGCATCTTCATGGACACCGGTCAGGTAGCACCTTTGGGTGTGAGCTGTGGGGTGTGTGCCCTCTGTGGGTGGTTGGGGGAACTGCAGGCTCAGGAGGGGTGAGGGAGGTGTCCTGCCAAGGGGTGACCATGTGGTGGGGGCTGGCCTCCCCTCTCTTCTCTCATGTTTCACTTGCTAAAAGCTGTGAAAAAAGTGAGTGCCCTGCTGGGGACCCAGATGAAACAGGGCTATGAGCTGTGTGTGGCCTTGTGGAAGACAAAGCTTCTTGAGTGACAGAACCAGTGAGGGTGGTGGAAGCTGCTAGCTCCTGGAGGCAGGAACAGGAGCTTAGCCCTTGCTGGGTGGCTCTGTGCTGCCCATTGCCCTTTCTGGGCCTCAGCCTCCCATCTGTGAGCACTGGGTTGGTCCAAGTGCTCTCTGGAGGTCCTTCCAGATGGACAACTTGTGTGTGTGTGTGTGCCCGTGGAGAGGGTGAGGGCAGGTGTGTGTGTGAAGGCAGCAGTGCCGGCAAGGCGGAGTCAGGTCGCACCCCCAGGGCAGAGGATGTGGAACACATGCGGAACATGTGTCAGAGGTGAGTGGCCTGCCTGTGCCCATTCGGCCCCTCCCCCCAGACACATCCCGGCGACCCAAGGACTCAGAGCGGGAAGGCCAGGGTTACAGCTTTGTGTCCCGTGGGGAGATGGAGACCGACATCCGTGCTGGGCGCTACCTGGAACATGGCGAATACGAGGGCAACCTGTATGGCACACGCATCGACTCCATCCGGGGCGTGGTTGCGGCTGGCAAGGTGTGCGTGCTGGATGTCAACCCGCAGGTACCACCCTGCCTGCTCCTCTCCAGCCTGCCAGTATCCTCCCTGGGCACTCTGCTCCCCAGGGGCTCCCCATATACTTCCAGGCACGTGTCTCCCAAGCACCCCCATGTACCCGCTCCCCCAGCTACTGCTAGGGACCCAGCCCACCTAGAACCTGTCTCTCGCCCTCCCACATCCCCCACTCCTCCTCTAGTCTCCTCTAGTTACCCCATCCCCAGTCACCTGTCAGCTGTTTGTTTTCTCTTCATCCCCAGAAGTCACGGCCCAGAACCCTGGGTACCCCTTTCTCATCTACTCTTGGCTACCCCAGATATCCTTCCAGGAGGAAGGACGTATGTGGGGAGGTTCTCCCTGGCCCTGCTCTTCTCCTACAGGCGGTGAAGGTGCTGAGAACAGCTGAGTTTGTCCCTTACGTGGTGTTCATTGAGGCCCCTGACTTTGAGACCCTGAGGGCCATGAACCGGGCCGCGCTGGAGAGTGGAGTGTCCACCAAGCAGCTCACGGTGAGGAGTTCTGCAGAGCAGTGGGAGAGGTCTGATGGCTGCCTGAGTTGATGAAGAGAAGGAGGGGGTATTGGGAAAGGGGAGAGGTGTCCCCTTCAAGTTATCAGTGAGATAGGACTGTGACCCCCGCTTTATAGATGTGGAAAGGGAGGTCCAAGAAAGGAAGTGAAGTGCCCAAAGTCTCAAGAGCAAGCCAGCGACACAGCTAGCCTCTGACTCCAGGCTCACTGTCTGGTCCACTCTGCAGCGTCAGAGTGCTGGCCAAAGGAATATCCAGAGGGCCAGTGGAAGATCTGTGGGCTGGAGGTGGGCCAGGTGGGTGGGGTGGGCTCAGGGTTGCTTACAGCTGGGGGAAGGCTGGAGGGAGGGAAGAAGCCAGAGGCTGGTAAGACTGGCTAGAGGGGTGAGTTAGCATCACGGAGCAGGCAGTGCCTGGAGAAAAGGCTTCAAGCCTGGTGTTGCAGGATTCCGGGGCACCCCCCACCCCACCTGCCTTGCTGCAGCCCTCTCAGGAGGTGTGGGGTTTGCAGTGCTCTGAGCTCAGGGGTCCCTCCGCTGGCCACGCCTGTTACGCAGCTCTTGGGCCGCTGGGGTCAGAGCACTTGGGCCCAGGAGAGGCTGTCTGGGCTGGGCTCCCTTCCGCTGATGGCCCCCTGAGGGAGCTCTGGGCCCTGGCCTAACCCTTGCTCTGGATACCTCCTCCCTGGAACAAATGCAGCTGACTAGAGCCACTGGGATGCAGCTGGCCTGGCTTTACTTAAGTCAGTTGTCAATTTCCTTCCCCACCCCTGCCCAACCTGCTTCCACTGGGTCTGGGGTGGGGGGGTGCCTTGGGCACTTGTGGGGTGCCCTGGCACCAGCCTCTCTTGCTCACTAGGTGAGGGGGCCTAGTCAGACTGGAGGGAGCAGTGGCTTGTGGGTCAGGTAGACCCTGTCCAGCCACTGGTTGCCTGTGTGACCTCTTGTACCTCAGTGTTCTCTGTTGCAAATGGGAGATAGCTAATCTGGCTTTGCAGGGCTGTAGTGAAGGTTATGTGGGTACAAAGCATTTAGTGTTGTGCTTGGCACTTGCTAAAGCTTCTTTCCATTCTTTCCTTCCTTTCACCCATTCACCTGTCCATGGTTGTAGGAGAGGTGCCTTGGGGCATGCAGGGAAGGGCTCCTGCCCTGGCCAGGGAGTTCGTACCACTGTGGTTGGGCTGTGGGGAGGGGGAGTGGGACATGCTGTAGATCCCCCTGATGGTGGGGGTGAGTTGTAGACACTGACTGGAGGGAGGTCCCCTTGTGCCCGGGCAGGAGGCAGACCTGAGACGGACAGTGGAGGAGAGCAGCCGCATCCAGAGGGGCTATGGGCACTACTTTGACCTCAGCCTGGTCAACAGCAACCTGGACAGGACCTTCCGTGAGCTCCAGGCCGCCATGGAGAAGCTGCGGACGGAGCCCCAGTGGGTGCCTGTCAGCTGGGTGTACTGAGCCTGTTCACCCAGACCTCCACCCTCTGTGGGTTGTGAGCTGCAACCTGAATCCGTCCCCTTCTCCACCCCCAGCCACGATCCTTAGCTCCATCTCTGGTTCTCCCTGGGTAACAGCTCCCAGCAGGCCCTCAGTCTGGCTTCAGCACAGAGGTGTGCACTGTCAGGGAGGTGGGTGTTCATGGGGTACCTCTGTGCCCAGGTGCTGCCCACTCCCAATGTCCATTGGCCACCAGATGTCCCTCTCTGAGGGCCAAGCTGTGCCCAGGAGTGTGTCACAGTCACCTCCATAATGCTTAGTTCAGAGAAGAGAAAAGCTGCTTTGGGACCACATGGTCAGTAGGTACACTGCCCCCTGCCAGTTCTCTCCAGTCACCTTTTCTTTTCTCCTCTGGACTGGCCGTACCCACGCCATTCCTGGGCTCCTCCCACCTTGTCACCCCTGCATCCTAGGAACAGGGCTTGGGTTGTTTCCATGTGGCCAGGAGAGTGCATGGCCCACTGGCAGCCAGGAAGGCTGGGCAGTGGTGCCAGCCTGGGCCATCTTGAAGGCTGGAGGAGCCAGAGTGCCAGCGAGTGGCCACAGCTGGACACTGCAGCTCTCAGCTCCCTCAGAAAGGGGCAGCGTCCCAGGAGCAGACGCTGCCCTGTCTCTCATCCACAGCTTCTCACTGCCGAAGTCTCTCCACAGACTTCTCCAATGTGCCCCCGACAGGTCAGCTCTGCTCCCTGCAGGGAGAGGCTGGCAGGGACCAGCGGGCTCAGCCCAGCTAGGCGTGGGTTGGAGGGCGGAGCCCTGTGACAAGGAGCCCACTGCTACTGACTGAAGAGCTCCGAGCTCTCCATGGCCCATGGTGATACATGTAGGCTCCCTGTTCTTGACCTTTGTTTATTTTGGTCTTCTCTCTGGCCAGGTCCAGGTGGCCCCCTTTATCAGGGCCTCCAGGGTTGGAAAGCTGAGGTGGAGTGCAGAGGGGACCTTGTGAGCTGTGGGTCACAGAGCTTGGGTTTGGAGAAGGGCGGTTGTGCTCTAGCAGGCTCCTCGTTACACAACTCCAGGGGTGCCATTCACAGTGTAGTTTGCACAGCCTGTGGTTCTCATGCTGTGGCTCGTGGTCTGTGTTTCTGGCCCTGGTGTGTGTGTGTGTGGCTTGGTTTTGGGAGAGGGGAGGCAAAGGGTTGTTTTAGAGGCTGGTCACTATTTTGGGCCCCTTTTTGGGAGTTCCCTGTCAGCCTCCCTTTCTTATGAGACCCTTATCCCAGATTCCAAGGCCTTGGCCCTCCCCAGATGTCTTCTTCCACTCTCCTATTGTCCCCCTACCCTAAATGTCACCCTCCAGTCCTTGGGGAAGGCAATTTTGTAAAATAGGAGAATCCCTTCTAAGAAAAGAATGCTGTCCTTGGCTTTCCCAGGCATCTCATCCCTCATCCTTTTCTGTGATCCTTCCTGAGGTGAGCCTGTCCCCACAGGGGACCACTGGGGACACCTCACCCCCAGCCCCTGTACCTCCCAGTTCTTCTGAGTGTCCAGTCTTCACTGCAGTGTCAGCCAAAGCTGACCCCTGAACCACTGTGTGCCCATTTCCTAGGGAAGGGGAGGGAGAATAAACAGAATATTTATTACAAATGTTAGAAATATATTTATTATATTAGGAATCTCATTTGCATAGGATATACAAATGAGATGTAAAGGTCAAGGCTGCTCCATCTCATTTGCATAGCTCTGCATACACTATGCAGTCATCTTTATACTCTTGTCTTTAGTCAGCGTCTTTTTTATCCTCTATTCAGCTCTCCCTTGCATTGCCCTCACCCTCAGCCTACAGGGACTAGGAGTGGCAGGAAAGTGGGGTGTTTTCCTGCTGACCTGAGGCCATGGGGTCATTTACCAGGAGGCGGGGAGGAACCTGCCGTTGCCTACTCCCTGGTTAATCTCCGAAGCCCCTTGATCGAAAGACCATGGTGGGGGTGGGGTGGGGTGGGCACCCTGCTGGGGAGTTGGCACCTGGCCCTTATGGGTCTCCAGTGTTGATGCAATTCTGGCATCTTCACCTCTACTGATGCCTAAGGGGCAGGGCTGGGCCCCTCCTCTCGTGTCTGTTCTCCATTCCTTCTCTCTGAGCAGCCTCCTACCTCCCCTACTTGAGCCCCACTCCATGCCCCTTCCATTCCCACGTCCCCTGAGGGACTTGGGAGGAGGCGGGGAGGAACCTGCCGTTGCGGCCATCCCTACTCCCTGGTTAATCTCCGAAGCCCCCTGATCGAAAGACCATGGTGGGGGTGGGGTGGGCACCCTGCTGGGGAGTTGGCACCTGGCCCTTATGGGTCTCCAGTGTTGATGCAATTCTGGCACCTTCACCTCTACTGATGCCTAAGGGGCAGGGCTGGGCCCCTCCTCTCGTGTCTCTTCTCGATTCCTTCTCTCTGAGCAGCCTCCTACCTCCCCTACTTGAGCCCCACTCCATGCCCCTTCCAGCCACCTGTCAGGTGGGAGCCGAGGCTGTCAGAGTCCTCAGCTCACCTGGGACAGGGCTGGGTTGGAACAGGTGTGCGTGCCCAGTGCATTAGCTCTGTGACTCTGTCCTCCGTCCTCCCGTTGTGGACTCTTGCGTTTGGGGTCCTCAGGACAGTGATGACCCTGCCCGCCCCCCGTCCACATTCAGTCCCAGCCCAGTTGCTCTTCCTCTCTCCCTCCTTCAATCATCCAATTCTGGAGTTTCCTCTCTGACTGGTTTTCTTTCTTTTCCTTTGATTAAATGTGAAAGCAAAGGCTTCTGGGCTCCATTTGTCTTTGGTTGGGGTTGGGTGGATGGCTTTGGGAGAGGGTGAGGGATGGGGCACAGCACAGATAATTCTAGAATGGAAGTTGGAGTGATGTGTCTTGTATTCTGTGATGTTTTCCTTCCCCCTGTCCTGCTCCTCCATGCTCCCCATCCCCAGAAGATGCTCCTCCTAAATGCTTGTGCCCCTGGCTGGCCGGTTGGCTCAGTTGGTTAGAGCACAGCCTTATAACACCAATGTCATGGGTTCGGATCCCTGTACCAGCCAGCTGCCAAAATAAATAAGTAAATGCTTGTGCCCAGGAGTCTGTGAGTATACATGGGGCTGAAGGGCTCAGGGGCTCCACGGCTTATGCCCTCAGCTCCACTGGAACTTGTGTGGCCTTCAGCAGGTCCCTGGACCTCTCTGAGGCTCAGGATCCTCTGTAAAAGTGTCATGGGCCCTCCCAGTGATAACGCTATCTCTTCCTATTGGGATCTTAATTGGAATCGCATTTAATCAGCACATTGATTTGGGAAGAATTAGCTCTCCTCAATGTTCAGTCTTCCCATCCAGGACCTAGTCTTCCTCTCCATGTACTTGGGTCTCCTTTCAGCCCACGGTCCTTCACTTGCCGGACCACCGAGCAGTGTTGTCCACACTAACGTGCTCCAATCAGCGCAACGTGATACAAAGGATGACACAGGGCCGAGCCTGTGGTGCACTCGCGGCGCTGGGAGTGCAGCAGCGCGGGTTCGGATCCTATATAGGGATGGCCGGTGCGCTCACTGGCTGAGCGTGGTGTGGCCGGCCTCAAAAAGGACAAAAAAAAAAAAAGGATGACACAGTGACTTTTTTATAAGGCAAAATTCATTCTTTTTTAAAAAACTGCCCTTTATCCTTAGGTTTTATGCACACATACACACACACACACACACACTCTGGGGTTAAAAGGGCTGAGATAAAAAGGGGGGTGTAATATTAGGTTTTTTTGCTGCACACACACACACACACACACACACACACACACACACACTCTGGGGTTAAAAGGGCTGAGATAAAAAGGGGGGTGTAATATTAGGTTTTTTTGCTGTTGTTTTTTGCTTGTTTTTAAATGCATAAGTTGACAAAATATATTTTGGAAATTTTACTGATCTGTGAAGTCTCAAAGTTTGGATTTCAACTCCCTGTAGGTTTATTTATTTATTTATTTTCTTTTACTCTCTTTTTTTTTTTCCTTTTTGTCTTTTTTTGTGACCGGTAACGGGATCGCAACCCTCAGTGTCACGCCCGTACCGCGACCGGCAACGGGATCGCAACCCTCGGTGTCGCACCCGCACCGCGCTCAACCAGTGAGCGGACCGGGATCCGAACCCTCGGCAGGAGTGCCGCCGCGCTCCCAAGTGCCACACTCTACCGAGCGCGCCACCGGGCCGGCCCCTTTTACTCTTTTTTTGTTGTTATATGTATATATATTTTGTTTTGTTTTGTTTTGTTTTTTCTGAGGCTGGCGGGTTTGGGGATCCCAACACTTGACCTTGGTGTTATAACAGCATGCTCGAACCAACTGAGCTCACCAGCCAGCCCTCTGTAGGTTTAATTACACAGGTGCCCTGCATTTTGTTGAGTATTTTGCATTGGGGTTGCTATGGTGAATGTGGTCTTTTTTTTCTCCCTATCTAATAAATCTTACAGTTCCTCAGAAAGTTATAACGTAGGGCCTTAACTGTTCGTTCAACAAGCCGTGGTCCCTGCTTCCAGAGGCCTGGAGTCTACCTGGAGAAAGATAGCCCTGATCACAACACAGTACAGTAATGAGAAGCTGTTACAGGATCACAGAGAAGGGGCTGCTCGATCAGCCTTTTGTGGGGAGGGGGACAGGTGTTCAAAAAGCATTTCTACGAGGTGCTGCTCCTGGAGCGAAAATCAGATAATGTTTGCTGAGTGAATGATGAATGCTTGCTGCACATTGGTATTTGGCATTTTTGGTATTGAATTTCTTTGTCTACCACAAAATCCTAGATGTGAGTATGTGCACAGCACGCATGTATAGACGGGGGTGGTGGGAGTGGAGTTTTTGCTTAAGGCACAGGTCACCTTATTCTCTCCCACCTTCCATCTAAAAATTACCAGGTTAGTAAGCACATCCCTCAACCTCAGTTTCTCATCCTGTTTTGACTTTGGGCCAGACTTACACTTACAATTGCTCTGATAGAACGAGTGCCCCTATTTTTGCCTGTCTGGTGACTAAGGTGTGTCTTTACATACTTATTTATTTATTTATTTTTTGGTCCTTTTTGAGACCGGCCGCACCGTGCTCAGCCAGTGAGCGCTGTGAGTGCACCGGTCATCCCTATATAGGATCCGAACCCGCGGCGGGAGCGCTGCTGCACTCCCAGCGCCGCACTCTCCCGAGTGTGCCACGGGCTCGGCCCTTTACATACTTATTTAATGCAGCATTTATTTAAGCTGTGTTCTCCAAAGAGGGACAAAAGCATGGGGTGGGAGTGGGGGCATGAGCCAATCTCTTACGTGCTGTCCT